GCACTGTCCTGATTAAACAAATAAATAAATAAATAAGCATGATTAGTTACATAGCTAGATTAAAGACACTACAGGATAAATGAAATGTCCACTTTTGAAACCTGACTTTTGATTGAATTTTCTTTGAAATTTTTCTCTGTTTTGTTTTGTGGTGTTTTCTGTTTATTTATGTGTTGCACTTGCTGCTCTCTCTTTTTTAATTGTCTATATACTTTTTTACATTTTATTTTATTATTCACATGTTTGTGTACGGTAAGAAGGAAGGATGTGGGTTATTACTGATTTGTAGCATAATCTTGTAGGATTGGGGAGGGAATGATGATCCGAGAGGGTGGCTGTTGTGTTTTCTGTGAAATTTGTTCATATAATAATGATTGATTCAGTCTGGGGCTGCAATAAATGAATGAATAAATGAAATTGAATTTAATTTAATTCTGTAATGTCATTGTCTGAACGTGTGTTTGGACTGATTTTGTATTTTGTGATTTTGTGTTGTTTGGTATTCCTGCCTCAGGACCACAGATGTAAATTAGCAACTATGCTATAATCTGGCTCATTTACAATCTGTATGAGATTGTTCATTAATGTGCACTGTCCTGATTAAATAAATAAATAAATAAATAAATAAATAAATAAATAAATAAGCATGATTAGCTACATAGCTGGATTAAAAACACTACAGGACAAATGAAATGTCCACTTTTGAAACCTGACTTTTGATTACATTTTCTCTTCCTCCCTGCTTCATCTCGGCCCATTGAAAATTTTACTTCTCAGTTTTGTTTTGTGGTGTTTTCTGTTTATTTATGTGTTGTACTTGCTGCTCTCTCTTTTTTAATTGTCTATATACTTATTTATTTTTTTATTTTTTTTAATATTCACATGTTCTTGTACGGTAAGAAGGAAGGATGTGGGTTATTACTGATTTGAAGCTCGGATTGGTCTGGGAAGGAAAACATTGAAGTAGGGTTGTCACGATACTAACATTTTCAACTCGATACCGATACTCAGGATACCATTCGATACCACAAGGAAAAAAACAAAGAAGAGTTAGTGTCTTTCATTTCAAACTGAACTATTACTGATGTTATGGTGGCCGTTGGCCCCATTAATAACCCCAACCCCAACCCTGACCCTGACCCTAACCCTAAATTGTGATAAATAAATATTTTTTGGGTTAAACTTGTTTGGACTTATTGTACAAACCTATTGAACATCAACTATTTTAACATAATATTATGAATAGAGTTTAATTCAGTGTTTGCAAGATTCATTTCACTATATTTTTATAATTAATGTCTATATTGCCATGAAGCAATTATGATTTTCTTGCCTGGAATCTTCCTATTGGTGACCTAATCAAAATGGCTGACTTGGATGTGGGCACTGTTGGATATCCATCCTTGGCTTCCTGCAGTCTGCAGCCAGACGGACTTGATTAATGTTGGCGTGTTATCATTAGCCATTAGCCGCAGCTAGCAATTCAAGGCTAACGTCATGGTATCGATACTTTTGAAAATGAGTATTAAAATATAATATTTTTGAGTATCGTTACTTTTGACAACCCTACATTGAAGCAAACTCATTAAAAGTCGAGGTGGAGGGTTATTTTTCTTCTTGTTTTTACTTTTAAACCCTCACAAAGCTGCTTCTGGGGTGGTTTCCCTCAGTAGTTAATAGCTAGTTTGTGTTTATTAGCGTTTATCGAGGTAAAAAGCATGTTCAAACTTCTATTTTTATAGGAAATAATTAGTCGGA